ATGAAAGCAGGAGATTTCTATACATGGAAATAATATTGAATGTAAAAACCTGTATACACTGTCAGGTAGTAATACCTCCAGTTACTCGGAGCTACCAGAGCTTCATTATAATAAAACACGTCCAGTCAGAGCTCTGAGGATGTGCCAGATGCCAATTCAGTGCACACAAATTATATACAGGAATATTTATTATTCCTGTAGCCTTAATTATAGAAGTTGTTTTCAACTACTTATTTTTTTTTTAAATGTAGTAATAAAACTAAAATATGTTACTGGCATTGACAGTAAAAATATTTAAACAAAACAGCAACAGTATACATGGCCTGTTGTGAATGTGAAGAGATTGGCCCAAGCTGATGTTAGATTCCCGGCCTGAATTATTATCCCAGTCCAGCCCTGAGTACAGCCCTCTCCTCCCTCTCTCAGTCTCACTCTCCTGTCTGACTGGCTGCCTCTGTCTCTCTCTCCACTCTTCCCATGCCTCTCTCAACTGCTTCTTCCTCACCGCTGATTCCCAGGATCGATAATTTTCTGCGGGTGCCCTTACGTTTCCCTCTCAACATGTTGGGCCATAAATCACCCCTCTGCTTCTCCCGGCAGGAAGGATGCCTCAGTTAGAAAACATCTTGAGCAAGCGCAGGTCAGGTGGAAAGGTGAGGACAGCTTAACGGACTGTCCCCAATAACATGCCCTCTTCTATTGCTTCTAAAAGAGATTTTCTTTTCTCTTTGAGTCGATGGATGGGTGGGGGAATAAATTAGGACGCCACATTAAGCTGTCACCCAGGATTTTGAACAACACAGACTGGCTTTTCACATGTGATCGTGCATTTTAGAAACCACACTGAGCAACTGGTTCAGCTTGAAGCCATACTATTAAAAATAATGGGAGCATTGGATTTTAAAGACTGTTTTAGAGAAAATTACATCAGCAGCGTAAGAAAATGTTTCAATTTGATGTGTTTTATTTTGTGTCATTGCCCAATTGTACTTTGTTGTAACATCCCTGCTCAAATCAACCACAGCCACTGGAGAGCTTGAACCACAGGAAACAACAAAACCGCCCTTTTTTAAAAATCACCACTGCTACAGTATATCCCAAATGGCACCCTGTTGTTTAAAACTTAACCCTGCTGTTGTGTAAATCATACTGCCTTCCCGTTTTCCTCCTTTACAGATCTGACCTTCATATAAAGCATTCTTATTGCACACATGTTTGATAGTGAAAGTCAAAGGAAGCAATCTTTGAAGATTTCAGGAGTGTGCATCTGGACTGTTCACTCCCTGCACCGAAGCTGCCAGTTATTTCCCTATGGCTTCTGAAGGCAGCACAAAGACATTGACCTAGGCCTCAGTAATGGCCCCCGTGGTGGCCATCTTGTCTTGCGATGTCCATCTTCAGCATAGTTGAGTACTGAGGCACCTGAAATTTTTATGCAGTAACTTATGCAACTCAACATCAGCAAGGGTGCACTTGTAAGATGTTACAATAACGAAAGTGAGGAGAGAAAACCATAAAAAAAAAAGTTGGAAGGATTAAAACAATCTTATAGATCACAGTCCACGGGGGCCTGCATGAGGCAGCCAACAGTGATACACAAATTGTGCCTCAGGTTTTTTCAGGACATCAAAGGTGGTATGGGGAAGGTGACTCACCCTCAGCAGGGAAGGCTGATATATGGTACGATGAGGGAGACGTATGAGGGTCATTGAGGGGCTCATGCGGAAACTTATTGAACAAACTCTCGCTGCACCGTGTTTGCCCCTGTGACCCATGTTCCTGACAACATTTGGTCAGCAGTGGGGAAATATAATTGCTTTCTTTTAACAGAAGATGCTCAGAAGCCATAATCAGGCAGTGCCAACGGCTTTAGTTTGTACTGTAAGCACGAGGCGTAGAAAACATTAGACAAGGATCAAGTTCATCTTTCAGTCTTCCACTGTTTTAACCACATATTTAAAAAGTTATCATGTTCAATGGGGCGTGCACTCCTTGGGTCCCAAATCAACTTCTCTGCTCTTTTGTTTCTTTAGGAGATGAATAGTGGCAGACCGGAGCAAAAAACACACAAATAGTTCAAAGACTGTAAAGTTTGATGGGGTTTTTGCTCCAGCAATTTATGATTTTGAGTCAAAGGTATTTCCAGGAGAGGCCAATGTTTTTCCTACCAGACTATAATTGTGCTGATTTACACCAATGGCTACAGAAACATTTAATTTCCCCTCCTCCCTTCAGCACTAAACTTTGTCCTTTACTGCAGCACAGGCTCACCATTGTATCTCTGCATTACGATAAAGAATACACAGATAAGTGGAGACTCGTAGCAGACAATGGCTTTTCTATTGCAAGTGTGGGTAATCGTCTTGTGGAGGGAGGCACTGTGTTTTGGCAAATTGCATCAGATTCATCAGGCTATAGGCATCCCCTTTCCTGCTCTCTCCTCAGGTTTCCTCCGCCCCATCACAGTGAGGGGGCCTTATAGTGCTGCCCACTCTCAATAGGCAGGGCTGACGCTAAGATTTCAGATGCTGGCCAACCTCTCAGAGGGAACAGGTGTCCCCTCTGTCTGCCTGTGGTCGAGGTCCCGTGGTGGAAGCATGGGAAAGGGCAGCCACCGCAGAGGTTCTACCCCAGCGGACAGGTAACAGTGCGCCTTTCAACTCAGCCTGAATTCAGCTAAATTGGTATCCTTTTAGGAACCACGGGAAGCAGTTGGAACTAGAAAATAAAGAGCGGAAATTCGCCCGGCGATTCCCAGTTGGCTTGAGGAGTATGGTGCTCTCACAATGGGAAAGGAGAGAAACTATTTTGATGTGTAAATGAGATAAGAAAAAAAAAGGGGCTTTGGCCAGGACTGCTTTACTTTGTTGCTTTAATAGAACAGACGTGTCTATATGAATCATGCATTCATTGAATTCAAATAAATCAACAATTCAGGAATAGTTTTTTTGGTGAATTTGAACTTGATGAATTGTACTGACATAATTTCAGTGAACACAAACAGACAATCAACATTTCCTGGGGACATTTTTTTGTTTTAGACTGACATGAGACATGAGGGATTTTGGGCCTGGTGGTGAGCAGGTCATTTTGAAAAAAAGATCAAAAGAGAAGCAGTGTCAGCCCTGAAGCTACCAACTCATCAGTGTGACCTGTGATCAATGGTGCAGGTGTGGAGGAGAACACCGGGGCAGGTAAATATCTCAGAGGCTAATACCTTTAACTACTCATTAGGTACAAATCTGTATCAACTCTGAAGGTACTCTGAAGTCTGGAAACACTTATTTCTGTCTGAGTAATTAATATTTTTTGTGCTGCAACAGTTATTAATGTTAACTCTCACTGACAACACACTCACCTTCCATTCATGAATGTAGCCCAACATAAACAGCTAAATCATCAAAGTCAACCACAGCCACAAGGAAACTCTGGGGCAAAGACATTTGCAAATGTCATTTGTGACCTCCTCGCTCAAATTCTGCACAGTGATAATATATCGGTGGGGATGCCATTAAAAACAGTTTCAAACTCCTCCTGGATTCATTTGCGCTGACCCAGAATGCAGTATTTTCTTAACACAAGCAGCAGGCTGCTTTGATGTTATCTCCCTATCCAAACAGTGGAGGGCCGGCCGGCTGCCCCTGCCCCGCCTGTGGCCGCGGAGGACGCCGGCGTCGATTAATCACAGTGAAGCCTGCGAGAGCGGGCTCATAAATCGCCTTTCTGCTCCTTAAACAGGAGAGTCCCAGGGCGCAGAGCCGTCATTTATCAACACTCTCCCCTCTGGATGAGGAGTAAATAAAACTCTGAATATGTAACAGAGGGGGAAGGAGAGGGTTGTGTCCTGGGATGTTGAGCATATCCACTGGTGTAATGGTAAATAAAGAAGTGCCTAAACTGTGACCTCCCAGCAGTCATCAATTTAATTAGTTTATTCATTGAGAATTCTCATTAAACCCTTCTTTCCTTTAAAATACCCCACATCAGTTTGGGTGTACTTCTATGCAGTCCATACAGTACATTTAAAGAAATGTATGGATCATTAAACCACAAAGAGAGTTTAAGAATCCCCTTGATCTGTGATCATTCTGATTAAAGGAATAAATTAAAAAAAGATAAACATTTCACTGTGTCATTTTAATAACCTTTCTGGAGCTTATTTGAATGTATTTATTGTCTTATTGTCTTATAGGCTCAGCATTCTGAGTCATTCATATTTTGGATAGGAATTGAAATAATCAAATTGATAATTAGATTTTTGTTTTGTTGATTGGCAGAAAACTATTATGACAATTAATTGAATATTTAAGTATTTTTTCCCAGCAAGAATAATTTCTGAAATGAAAGTGTCACCTTGGGATTTAGGAAATTGTTTGTTTTTTGTTTTAATCATTTCTGACATTCTACAGACAAAGTTAGTCATTGAAACTGAGAAGATAATCAGCAGATTAATCAATAATGCCCTGAATATGTATTTGGCATCTTTTTTTAAAAACCTGATGTTGTCTTTAGTCAAAGCTGTGAGGTAGAGAAACAAATAGGTGCTATAGCTGCATAATGTTTCCCTCAAGTGGAGATTAAGAAAAATGCATTAGTTTGGGGTTGAGAACTGTCCCCAGAGTGATAGTATGTGTGTTTCTAACTATATACACAGTTTATGTATAGAACAGACAGTTCTGGACAACCACAAACTCAGAGAGCTTCTCAGTCAGGTTTTATACTATATTGAGTCTGTTATTTTGTATAGAAAAAAATGTACAAAATAGCTTTGTCGTAGTGATGCTACATATTCAATATACTCTTGATCAAGGTTCCTCTCAGGACAAATGTATGGATGAGTTTCCTGGCTTACTGGTTTAGCCATATGAACTTCTGTACCTCTGATCTGTCCCAGTTTTCTTTGTGACACTCTTTGCGATACCAGTTGGCAAAATGGTTCAAATTTCACGTTTTTCTTAACACATGGACACACATTAACATAAACACAAATACAGCAGTAATTCAGTTCTGATATCAGCATTTATTTGGATTCCACATGCTACATACATTGCTTAACATAAATTGTCAGAAAGCTGTTTACATACTTGTGAATTAATTTTACAACAGAACATCACACTTTGAGCTAACACCATACAAACAATAAGGAATGAAGCAGTTTCCCAGGATTTCTCTTTTGGACTGGCTAGGGGTGTAAACATTGCTCCGTGTGTCCGGTAAAACTGGAGTCCTGTGAGAGTCTGGGAGAAGCAGCAGCAGAAAGCACTATCTCCATCATCGGTGCTCACCAGGCCTGTCCTCAAACTGGCAACCCCACAAAGCCTGCCCGGAGACAGATGACAGCGCCACAAAGACAACACAGGTGGCTGGCTGTGGACCACCTGGAGCAGAAAAGCTCGGCCACACTAAGATCTCTGGGAGATCACTGCAGAAGAGAGAGAGAGAGAGAGAGAGAGAGAGAGAGAGAGAGAGAGTTTGTTACTGGGGGGAAGAGAGAGAGAAAATTATGAGGTGGGCAGACAGTGAAGAGTAGGATGAAGAAACAAACAAAGGATAGCAATGGAAGTGAATGAGGGAAAAGGAATAGAAAGAGCTGAGCTGGGGCAAAGTTGCAGGCCATCTTTGAGGATCTTTCAAGGAGTAACTTCTCTAGCTAGCAACTCCAACGCTTTAAGGAAATAGAAAGGCATTTTGGTAAAAGCACTTATTTACTTGAGTTAGATCAAGGATTGAAATCAATCTCATATCTGTATGGTAAATATGAAGCTACACAAACTTAGCATAGTACAAACATTGGAACTAGAGGAGAACCCCTAACCTGGGTCTATGTTGTATGTACACATAAGTTTTGTATGGATTAATAGACAAAATGTGTTTACTCGGGTAAAGTTTTATTTTAGCTCTTTCCCCACATTTCCAGGCACTAAGCTAAGCTAAAATGATATCAATCTGCAAGAAAGTGCATCAGTCAATTTCCCAAAGTGTTAAACTATTGCTTTAAGAAACTCTTAAAGAAAGTTTTTTTAAGTAAATATTTTAGGCAACTGCCAATTTTTAAGATTAATACGGCAAGCAAAAATATTTTGAATTGCACTGATGTATAATTAGGGGATCTTATTATGATAAAATATTTCTTTTTATTTTTAGATTTTCATCACAATATGTTAGAAAGGACATTTCAGCATATAATGTCCGCATAAATAATAAAAAAATACCTTTTTACCACCAAATGTCATCTACCTCCATACTATTATTTATAGTGATGGATAAGCTCATCAAAGCTAACCCCATATCTATCACCAGCATCAGTGAAGGACTCGTCTCAAATGTCACAATAAGGTGGCTTACATCAAATTTGACCTCTCTCTCCTATTTCCTTTAACAATACCATTTAATAACGATATGGTCCGTCACGCTCCATACTGCGATTACATGCCCTCCTTTCAAGAGGTTTTCTCCTGACCAAGATGAATCTCTCTTCATGGCTCTTGTTCATGCCCACCTTTGAACTGAGGGAGATGCTTTAGTGCCGTGACCTCAATCCATTCCCCTTATAGAGAGCAGTGAACATTTATCCAGACAGCACAATCCCCTGGATCAAATTCTTCAGCATGATGGAGAATTTCTGGAGCCAGTGGGTCTTTAAAGCAAAGATGAACTTCCAGTGAAGTATAGCAGACTTCATAGCATTTTAGGCCGTAGTTCAAGTTTTCCTGTGCTGGACATGACCAGTGTTTAGTCTCTACAGAGATGGAAAAGGGTAAAAGGCAGGGAGAGAATAAAAATAAGTCAGACAGAGCATTCGTGGGGGACTGATTAGAAACACAGAAGAAACCTGTGCTCGCAGCAGTAGGCCAGGTTCAGTGTTTGACCTCCTGCTATTGTCTGTGCTTTTACATGGCAGTAACAGCAGATATGACCTTACCTGCTGCTGCGCTGGAACATTATCAAGGCAGATTGATAAGCTTCCCTTCTTTCATCACATTTGAAGCCACTCACAGGAGGATTCCTTGAAAAAAACACAAAGTGGAGAGTCTGTTATACTTCTATAATCTATGTTAGCTTTGGAAAACATTTATTCCCCTTCCACTAACTCTAATTCTCTTGGTTCCATTGCAACTCTTTTTGAGTATCTTCATCTGGTTCTGTCCTTTTTGTCATCAATATGTCTTCTTTTCTCCTTCCCTTGTCAGCATCACTTCTCCATCTCCCAGGCTTCATTTTTCAACCTCTTCATCTCAATATTTCCCCCCCCTTTTTGTGGCCCAATCTCACCTCATCAGTAGCGCTTCCCTACATGCACCGCAGCCTCCTGTGTATCCGCGCGTTGCATTTGGGTCCAGGCCCGCTTGGTGGGAGCACTGCACCTCCAGTGCATAGCCTGACTGTCTGCAAGCCTCCTCAGCAGCTGTCATGAAAACCAAACAGACACTCTTAATTGGTGTTCCAGACTTAAGGAAACTGGACTAAAATATTTGCATAATTTCACAGAGGACGGAGGAAATTGTTAAAACATGTGAGCCGAGGCTCTGGCTGCTGTAACCCTACCCGGCAGGCCGAGTGGCTCTTGGGTGCCACCCAGCGCCAACGGTGCCAGGAGGGAATGGTGGGGGGGCAGGGGTGAGGGGAGGGCAGTGGAGGAGAGAGGCGAGGAGTGAAAAGGTCATACTGGCTGATCCTATTAGAGTGTCTCACCTTCTCATACTGCTCAGAGCCAGAGAAGACCTGACACAGGCAGAGCCCAGCCTGCAGTATCATATGAACACAACACTGGGTGGTTCTTGTTAGGGCAAACAACTTCTTTTTTTTCCCTGAAATTACTTCTGTAGCTTTTGCACATAGAGTGTGCACATGGATGATTGTATGTTTCTGGATCATATAGAAATCCTACTTTTTAGTAAATAAAGCCAAAGTTTAAAGCAATTGTTGTGGTGTTGTTTTGTCACTTTGACTTTGTATGCTGTAATGAAAAACAAATTAATTGGTTAGTTAGCAGCAGTGAGCTGGGAGGAAATTCTGGGATTTGGGGTTAGCCATATAAGCTTTATCAAAACCAGGAAGTTTACATTTAAGTAATTAGCTCATTCTCATATGAGGTGAGGTTTGACAGAAAGAATAGAATAGCCAGAGATAAGAAATCAGTAGAGGAGGATGCACTGTCTTGGAAATGTCAAGAATCTGAAAGACCAGTTATAAGCTTTGCCTTTTACTTCAGACTTCTTGGTGGAAGGTCCATAAATGTATTTAAGATTAAATTATATTGTGTTAGTTGACCCACTAATTATAGTGGACTGTAGAGATTCGGATGTAAACCAGACGAGCCTAATGGTGGGGGAGGCTGGTTTTGTTAGGGGGCTGGGACAATTCAGAGGAACCATCTTTTCATTAATGGATTCTTCAGCTTGAGGTTCTCTCATGTGAGGAATACCAAATTCAGAATGAGAGACAGGGTTGAGCATTTTGTGCCCAAATGGGGTGGTCTTTAAAATACACTATCACTGTGAGGTGATGTGTTTGCAGCCATATAGAATTTAGGAGAAGTAGGACTGTGTGGATTATAAACTGTAATGAAATGAGAATCAGTGCATAATGGTGAAAGAAAGGAATAGCTGGAAAGCAGGAGAGTAAATATTTGTGTATCCAGACAATTGTAGAATTCTAGTATATGTTTCTAGGAAAATATCAATAAAATATAAACAAAAATGAAAAAAAAAACCTCAACATTGTGTAAATGAATATCTGCACATTCATATTATAATACAATACAAAATAATACAACAGAATATGCAATTCCCTCCAAACTACGTTGTTCTCTCAACACATTGTATTAATGTGTATTAGTTCATATTAGTATTAATGCAGCAGGACTCCAGCCCTTGTCCTCCTCCGCCCTGGTTCCCACATAGTGAACCAGAGTGGTGGGCGTTCACAGTCACAGCTGAGGCAGGGCAGGGTAATTAAACTAGTCTGGGCCATGTGGAAAAGACATAGAGCTTTAAATGCCCTCACTGGAGATAACATGAGCACCATGCAGATAGATCACATGGGAGCCCCCCGTTTACTGGGGATGCCAGCTGCACTGAGACACTGCGGCAAGCTTTGTCACCTTGTAAACGAAAGAGGAGAGACAGAGAAGTGTGGGGAAGTCAATGAGAGGTACTACAGTATGTCTTTTTGTTGCACACCAGAGGCAGAGGGAGCAGAGAGGGGAACACAGGGCCTGAAATTGCACGGTGCTTAATAAAAACGCGGAGGAGGCTAGTATGAGACGCATGAAGTAGCTCAAACAAGCATCAGGTGTCTCTGGGATTTCAAAGGAAATTTCATGCTGCAAAACTGTATTTTATGGTTCTCAGCTAAGAGAGATCGTGAAATACAAGCCTATTATTGTTGACATTGGATATTATTTAGTTTGGGGAATTTTTTGTGCAATATAGATGCAAATAAGCCGCCACTGTACCTACACTTCAGTATAAGTGAAAGGGCAATTTACAAATTCACCTGAGCTACAAGTAATTATTATAAAAAACTGCTTTGTATGACTGAGGAGTGATTAGATCTAATCAAGTGGAGATAAAGTGAGTAAACAGATCATGAAACATCCTCTCCTCATGAATACAACATAATTATTAAATGATTACGGTGATTACACACCCACCAGGGTTTGTGGCGTGTCTTCATTATCACGCAGATTAATCAACGCCACAGGCTCAGGCAGCAGGCGCCTGGAATACTCACAGTGCAAGAAAGATGCGTAATGAGGTCAAAAAAGAGAACATATACCATTTTTTATATATAGGCATTTTTTGACACTTTACCATATAACCATTGTACAGAAAAAAGCAAAACAGCTGTAAAATATCAGTTAAACAAAGTGATCCTGTGTAATTACTGTAGAAGCAATAGTTTTGATTATTGATTATGATGACCAGAAAAATCACAATTTAAATTAAATTTGTACGCTAGGAGTTAACTGGTGAATAACTTTTAGGGAAACTGTATGTGGATGTTGTGTATGTTCATCACAATGTATAAAGGAGTGCAGAACAGTTACCTAGAAATGAGTTGTGTCTCCATTCTGTGGCGCAAATTAATCAGTGTCACAGGCCCAGACAGTGGGAGAAAGATGATGGATGGAAAATGTCTGCATGGTAACCATGTGATGCAGATAACGGAAGAGAGAAAGGCACTGGAAGAGACTGTGTGTGTCTGTGCATCTATGATGTAGTGATAAAGGGGGAGAGAGAGTGTGTGTGTCTCTCTGATGCAGAGAGGAAGGAAGAGACAGTGAGAGAAACACAGTGCGTGTGTCTTTTCAAGTGTGTGTGAGTATGTCTTTCTATGATGACAGAACAAATGACCTCCTCTGTCATGCATGGCCTTGAGAAACCTCTGTGGATTTAGGGCTCCATCAGCCTGGGGGGCTCTCTGGCTGTCCTTGGAGCTGCCTGCTTGTCTCTTTCCACACCGCCAACTAGCCAAACAGCAGGGTCCTCCGCCTCTCCCACGGGTCAGGTCCCTCTCAACCCCCGGCCAGCTTTGATCTGACGGACAGCAGAAGGGGGTCTGAGGCAACTCTAAGCTAGTGTGTGTGTGTGTGTGTGTGTGTGTGTGTGTGTGTGTGTGTGTGAGATGGGGTAGCAGACAGAAAGGCAGGGGGATGGTCAGGGTCAGGTGGGGTCAAAGGCCGACGTCCATCTCAACTGTCCTGTTTTTAGCTATAGAACAGCTACACTTGTACGAGCATACACTTACATATATATATAAAGACATAGAGGTTAAAGCTGCTACAATTGAGAGTTTAAAGCTGCTAGGATCAATATTTTTACAATACCAAAGGACCAAGTTACAATGTATAATCTAAAAGGTGTTTCTCATAGTGAAAATCATTGCCAGTTTCCATTAGCTCTGCAAAGTTTTATAGCTACTTTCAGCACATTGTTTTGGTTTCCTGGCCCCTCAACTTCACTATTTTGATCCACTCTCACAGTGCCAGCAGCACAGAAGCTGTTTTCAGTTTAAAAAGCCTTAAAAACCGACTGTACTCTCTCCTGCCCGGCACAAAACGACAGACTGACAAAGTTAGATGTGGAGCAAAGACTAGCTGATGTGGAGCATTTAACATTTAAAGAACCACATATTTCCCTTAAGAATTAATGGAAACCAAAACATATCTAAAAGAAGAGTGAATATTGGGCTAATATTGACAGATGGACAGAAACATGACAAATTAATGCTACTGTTGCTACGTGTCTGTTAGACGTTTAAACAAATAAACTGTTCACTTATACATTTTAACAACTTAAAAGGTGATAATGTTGTTTTAAGGCTTATTTCTGCTGCCTGTAAGTGGCCAAATTAAAACTAAAATCTGCTATATTTTGTGTCATCATGCTGTAACCAGTTCTACCTTCTGCTCAGGGTGATTTTAGCTTAATTTGTTTATTCAGTACATTTATGGATTCAGCAAATGAGTTAAAATTGACTGATTATCATAAATTATTTACAAATTGCTGATAGTTTCACTGATATGTCATATTTTGAGAATAAATCTGAAGAAAAAACACACAGGGAAAAATACTGATGATGAGTC